TATAAAAACGTTCAGGGGGAATTCCAAGCGAGTGGCTTGTAAGGTTCTGAGGTGATAGCTGGAAGGGAGACTACAGAAGGTGTGGAGCGAACGAGCAACAGAGGGTGAGGGTTGCGCATCTGCTATGTATTATGGGGTGGTCTACAGACGACAGTTTATAGAAAAGACAGACGTATAGATAGCAATGTGATCACTGTACATCTCGCTTGTCTGTCTCGATCCCATACGACGAGGAGCACTCCTACGTCACGTACGAAATGACCTCTCTGGTTGGCCTTGAACACCTATAAAAGGGAATGACCATCACTAACAGTAAATGAAAAATTTGTCACTAATTTTTTAAGGTGTTCTCTGCTATTTTTTATTTGATTGCTAACTTAATTGTCAGATTCCATTAGATGGGGTACCGGTTGTTCCAAGCTCGTTTGTCTAACGACACTCCGTCTCAAATGACACATGGATCTCTCCAAAATTCACCATCAACCAAAAAAAATTCTATCCTTTTATTTTGGATTTTAATTATGTAAAAAAATTGAGCTTTGTAAAATCCGAATGCAATTTATGTCATTTTTATAAAATTTTAAACGAATACTATACATGTATAAATACATATCTCCTTTCTTGTTATTTTTATAATTCCCTCGTATTTTTACAGCTATGTTGGAGTTGTAATTTTGAATTCAACCTTGTAACAAATAAATGAATTTTAAAAATAGCATAACTGTAACTCTCTGGTAAAAAATATCTATACTTTCCTGGAAAAAGAAGTTATAGGTCGTTGGATTCCCACCTCTATATTTGAGGTGTGATATTTTTTTTATATTATAAATAAAAAATGAAATTAATATTTTAGTTTAATAATGAAGTGACAAAGTATACAATTACTATTTACATTAAGATTTGCATTAATTTTGGCATGTGTTGAATGTTTCATGCGTATTATTACTATAACTTAAATATATGGAATAAAAAAGGTTCTTAAAAGAGAGAAAAGGAAAAGAGAAATTGTCTTTTAGTCTGGTTGGACGGTTGGATTTTAATATGAAGCATGTGATGAAAAATGTTAATTACTAGAGCGGCTACTTATTGTAGCTTCTCGGAACAGAGGAAAAAAGAGAGAGAGAAAGAAAGAGGTTTAATTAGGCGATGGGCCATAATGGAATTAGAAAGCCCGATTCAAAATCGAGCCCAATAATAATGTTTGATGGGCTTTCTTTAAATATGGGCCTTTAACCACAACGTCACTAACAAGAAGCCCAGGACAAAGAACAATCACTGTCGTCATTCACGTTTCGTCTGCACTATTTATTGTATTTTTCTCAAGTTAATATTTTTAATCTATATTTAAAAGTATTAAATTAAATATTCTAACCCTACCGTTATGGATATGCATTCCCATGTTTTTTTTTAAATAAAAAAAAACTACCTAGTTTGGTCATTTTACAGCCAGATTCCTTTACCAATTGAACTATATTCTTTATATTAACTTTTATTCTACATTTAAATATATTTAGAGTATAAATCTTAATTCTGCAGTTAAATATATTTAAAGTCTAAATCTTACCACTCCTTTTAAGATGCAAAATGTTCTTGTTAGTAACAATCAAACTTTTTCACTAAAAAATGTTCTTCAAGATTTAGGGCGATTTTTTTTTTAAGCTATGTATGCATGGATATTGAAAAAAAAAAAGCAATGCATTCTCATTTATATACATTTTGGATTGAGAATGTGATAAAAGTTGATAAGGACAATGGTACCCTCGTGTACCTCAAATATCTCCATAATAGTATGATATTGTCCATTTTGGATATAGTATTCACGATTTTACTTTTGATTTCACCCAAAAAATCAAGAGATAATTGTTCTCATCTATATACTATAGATCATTTTCTTCTCTACCTAACGTGAAACTTTGTTTGACCACTTTACAAACATAAGGAGACGAGAGCATCAAGTATCAAGTATCAGAGTTATACCCTTAACTTAGTCACGTTTGATAAATAACAAGTGATAAACAAAGAAGAGGCAACCCTCCAAAACAAAAACAAAAAAAAAATCAATCTGCAGCCATTCTGAATCACACAATGAATTGAAACTCCAGTTGGTTCAAAAAACTAAACCCATTTTGAAGATCATGTCTGTGAATGAAACCCACTTCTAAAAAAGTCACCTTTTTTTTCTTTCTTTCTTTCTTCTCTCTGTCATTTAATGTTTTGGTGACAGTTTCTTTTACGTTAATCATTTAATATAATCTTGAATTAAAACACAGATCTGTTTGGCTTTTCGTGATACCTGACTGCAACTGCAACTGCAACTCCATTGAGTGTAGATATTTGATAGTTTTTTTGTGGGCATTCATTAATTATTATTTTGATGGTGTTGGAAAATGGCAAAGACGAAGCTCACTCACTTCCACTCAACTCTGAAAGCTGCCTTTTTAAAAGCCTTTTCTTTTCAGATATCTATGGACTATGGAGGCTGCCTGCTGTGTGGCTCAACAAGCCAATCTCGTGAACTCTAAACTCCCCTCTCCTCTCTCTTTGCTTTTTTAAAAGGGACAACATTTCTGATTCTCACAATCTAACTTCTTTTTTTTCTTTTCCTTTCTTTTACTTTTTATTTGTGGATGTGTAAATGGGTAATTTATAAAATCAAAGAAGGGTTGAATTATAAGTTTTAATTTGGGGGGAGTATTTGGAACTTCTTACCTATAGAGAGTGATAATTATGCTCACGTCCGCATAGTTAACTAGGATTTCATCGTGGGTTTTTGGGTTGAATAGCATTTTTTGAAACTTAAATTTTACCCCTTTTGATTTTTACCCACTTTCTTCTAAACTTTACGGACATCACCTTAGATATCAAAAATGAGTTTGTTAATTTTATGCTTACATCTCACCAAATCCTTGAAATAACTTTTTTCAAAATCAACTAATTTTTAAATGAGGTGGCAAGTTCGAGCATAATGGAGTAGATAAGGGTACCCATTAGATTCTCTAATTGATTGAGTTGACAACAATAACGTACACAAAATTAAAAGTTTAAAAGTTTAATGATCTATTAAAACTTTTCAAATTACAAGCAACAAATAGTGAAAGATTTATTAAAAAATTTTAAAGTAAATGAACTAAATAAACAAATACTAAAAATTTAACGACTAAATTTATAACTTAATTGAAAAGAACACTCAAGTAATTAATTATTAGATTTATTTGTAAGTTACGCTGACATAAGTGAACCAATATATAAGAAAAAATGGGATAATTCTTTATATGTTGTTCAAGCAATAATAAAGAATTGCAAATTGCAGACAAACTAAAATGAAAAAGTGACCTTTTTTTAATAAATAAAGGAACAAAAATCAGCTATTTGCAGCAGCACACAGCCAAAGGATGGAGCAGAATCAATTTTATAGACATGGTTTTAATTAATTAACAAATTTTTATATGTTTTTAAAATAAGTGGTAAGACTGCATTAATTGACCAACTAATTCCAAAAAGCAACTTCATTGTGGAAACATGACTTAAAGGGTGACCCATGTGATACTCCAACTGAAAATTTACTGAAAACCAAATTCAGATGAATGTTAACCAAGAATAATATAATATATACTTTATTACTTCCCTTTTATTTTCCTTTGTATTTATCTTTCATGTATTATATGCATTGCATGTTAATGATGTGACAAAGTCACATTAATTACAACTAAAAAG